GCCAAAAGGGTTCAAAGGCTCTCTTTTACTACTAAACTTAAAGGTACAATTAATAATGACGCTCGAGTCACACAAAACACTTGAAATCAATTTCTATGTGGTACTTACAGCATGAAAAAGTAACTTTGCTGCCGTGTAAACCTAGGGTAAAGCTCTCGACAAGATAATCATGTCTCTCGCAGTCGTAAATTTCAACAAAAGCAGCTTTACGCTGCTTTTTCATTCTTTAAAAGCTGATCTTTATACCAGAATTATGCTCACGTTTTCAGTTTTCTTAAGATAATCATGTCTCTCGCTGTCGTAAATTTCAACAAGAGCAGCTTTACGCTGCTTTTTCATTCTTTAGAAGCTGATCTTTATACCAGAATTATGCTCACGTTTTCAGTTTTCTTAAAGGGACTAAAACGAACTTAAGTTAGCTTGAAGTTTAAGTTCTGTTATGCCAGCTTCATACGCTAAGTTTATGTCAACAACTCACTTACCCTTGTCACTGCAGGTCTTACAAGTTGTGGTTTAGATGGATAGTTACACTGCACGCATAACTTGAATGCTACTCGGCCTGTTAGCTGCTTTTTCTCAATGTAATTGTGAAGGTAAGAAGCGTATGTGCGGTAACTGTTGAGAAACTGACCGAGTAGCCGTGAAAAATAGCCTTCATATAGTGATTTCAGCTGATTGCGGCAAGATAAGACAGTCTCACGATGGCGGGGAAGGCCATGTTGGAAAGGCAAGTACACGATTAAGATTAAAGTTGGAACACTTGTACACTTGTACACGACAGATAGTAATAGTAGAAAACAATTCTGATCAGTTGTGCAAGCTGAGTCAATCTCTCAGTGAGTAAATCAATCACTGGATCAAAAGATCCACGATAATTGGACGAGGAGGTACTTCACTTCAAATCCTCCTCCATTCCCCCACCCAAGAGAAGATCCTTCGTGTACCGGAGTAGTCGCACACTGTATTATCGAACAAAAGAGACTAATATGCAATATGCGATTCTTGATGCAAAGATCGGTTTTTGAGCAACTAAGGTATTTTTCTCACTTATTTTATCTAGGAAATGCTATTTCTGACGCAGACTACAAAACACTGGTGTCCCTGTGCATCGCTATAATACTCCTGTTTAGCGCCTGGCTAGTTATTCTCGTTGAGGTCTTAATTTATTCCTGCCGTCACCACTTAAGGAAAAACAGGTTCGTCTAGATTACAAACAGTTTGGTCCAGATTAAGAGCTCTGTTTCACATGATCACCGTTCAACGGTAACCTTAGAGACTCTTATTCCACCTAATCTCGTCCCCAGGACTTTTCTTTTGAGGTTTTCCGCGTCTTCCAAACTTCCAGGGAAAGCCCTGGCGAAGTGGTTGTCTTCTTCTCTTAATGTTTTATTTCATGGAGATATGTCCGTATATTTTGTGAATCTGCTGTTAAGTATTTTTTTTGTATAATTTTAAATACTTCCTTATCACTCTTGCTTTCAACTTGTCTTTTTTTCAAGAAATGTCGTGAGCCATGCAGACCAGCTAGATGCGTCAGAGATGACTCAGTGGGACTCGGCACCAGAGGCCGTTCTGGTGCAATCGCACAAGATGCCAGTTTTGACAGGATGCAATAAGTCCATCCAGACTGAGTTCCTTCTGAATAAGGCCCTAGTGGCGCCAGAGAGACCCTCGCACCGCCTTCCTCCCATCAACATATTTGAAAATTCAGACGTTCAGTAATTTGTTGAGTTCTAAATAATTCAAAAATCAATACAGTTAGAGCCGACAAGCTCCGTTTTATGCAAATCCTCGTTCAGCTTTCGTGAAGATTCTGATTTTGATTATCCAATCAAAGAATAACGCGATTACTTAAGTGCACACCGAACGTTCTCACGCTAGTATGGCGAAATCATTTTTGGTAACGTCGAGCCGGTTCAGCCAGGGCTACGAGACCAATATGCCATATTCGTATTCTCGGTATTGGACTGGCACTAGCTTGCGATGAAGGCTTCTGCCGGGAATATCATTAAAAAAAAGATCAAGACCCCCGCATTAGCCTCAGTTGCAAGCTAGTCCCAGTCCAATACCGAGAAAGCGAATATGGTTTATTCCCTGTCTATCGCCATCATCTGGTTCTTGTTTCCTCGACCGAATCCGACTGCTACCCATTCCCCTATTTATACATTTTTGGGGGAGAGAGGATTGTATAGCGGCTCTCAGTTTCGCTTCCAATCTTTTGTCACTTCAAAAACACATAAATAAATAGACGACTCAGCGACCCAATACGAACAAAAGGTGGCTCTAGAAGACAGACGATTTCACGGGCTAGATTCTTGGACTCGGATATTCACTACTTCAACGCCGGTTTCCCTCCCGAAAATGCGCAATTGTGAATCTCTACCTAAAACTGTTTGATTACAGCACCCGCAGGCATTCTATAAACGTATGGATGTCACTTCTAGCTAGAACTTTTACCTAAATTCCCTATGTTAAAATCTGATGATGTTCCATCATGTCGCGCATCAAACAATGTTCACATATGGGACGACAGCGACGAGTCAATTTTTCTCTTTCACTTGATTTCCGGAGGTACACCCGGAAGCCAAGTCGCAGAGAGGAGAAAGTTGGGAGACCGGTCTAAAGCAGTTAACACAGAGTTTTGTTTTATAACTTTTTTTTTTGTTTTATTACTTAATTCTGCATTGATGTTCCTTCGTGGTAAAATAAGCTGTCGTTGTTGTAAAGATCAGTGTCTAACGCAACCTGAATAAACTTTAATGTTACCCTTCTGCTCTCGTCCAACTCAAACTTGTCTTATTTACAATGGCACCTTTTACGACGAAACACAAAACAACTATTTTCTTGGACAGTCGTCGTGCAAAAAAACGGCTGTTCGGTACGAAACAACATTCCTTGCTAGTGGCAAAATCTTGAACGACCACGGTCAAGTACAACTGGATGTGCCAATACTAACTTCAGTTTAAAGATTGAGCCATAAAATATCTGAACAATGCGATAACCAAACAATGATTGTTAACACTGGAGACTAAGCGACCAAGATGGAAAAAGATCTCACACCGCTCTTAGAATCTGTCAAGAACGTCCACTGAAGACTAATTAAAACTCAGTTTTCTCGGTCGAACAATATCCCGTTCAGTACACAACAGCGGCGTGGCCT